GGCCTGGTTATATTTTGCAATCTAAATTTCAGAGAATCATTCTTGAGCCTTAGCATTTGCCAAAGATTCAGACTTCCGTGTAAAAGCTTTTGTTTCAATTTCAATCTAGATTGCATTTAATTGACTTGGATGAATGAAAAAAAGGGGGGCTTTTTTTCTTATATTTGCTTTCAGCAACTGTGTTTTGTCACTGTATGGCTAAAGTAAGGGTTAATTATATGGTTGACTCTGAAGTAATAAGCTCTGTGAACAGGTTGCATACGTATAGGTATACACCACAGCTTCTGATGTTCTTATCGCATTTGTGATTCATAGTTGGAAACAGCACAGCAGTTCAATTACTGTAACAGAAGAAACCAGTAACTATAAAATTTCAGCACTGATATTGGGAGTGACCTAGAAGTAATTGCCAAGGGCAGGGACTATATCTCAGACCCTTTGTTAGCCCTAGTGTCTAACATAGTACCTTGTACAAAAAGAAAAAAATGTGTTTATGTTGAAAATAATTGGGTGACACTAAATGAATACTACATCATGTATACAGTTATAACTGACTGTCTTAATTAGTATAAATTAATTTAGGCCTAGAATTTAACTCTAGACGATTTCTTTGTAAAGATAACCTAATTATAAAGTGTAGCTCAATAATATACTATCATTTCCCCTAATCCACTAAATTGGGTAATTCTCAACGAAAGATCCATATTTAATGAGAGGCTGTAAAATGTGGTTATTTTGCTGACCATCCTCACATGGTTTGGTACAGGGACACTGTGGGAACATGATGAGACTCAGAGGCTTGGGTGGACCATCGTTTCATCTAGGATAACTTAGATAATTACTGGAAAAAAACAAAAAGCTTTGCCTATTCAGTTTCATAAGAAATGTCCCTAAAAACTCACTCAATTTCTCTCTTTCATTGAGAATTTTGGGCATATTAATCTCTGCACCGTGAGTGACACAGTTAAACACCACAGGGCAGACAAAATGTAGCTAGGGAATTCTTGTCTTACTCAGTCCTTATCTTGCTATGTGATTCTTCCGGAACTTGAGTTAACTCTCTGGTTCCTTTGCCTGAAAAGGGAAGTGAAGATATTTACTCCAACCCTGGTAGATATAAAACACTCTTTCCCCTCTTTCTATCAAACAAGGCTTCCCTTATTCCCCTGAGCTGATGAATAGGGATCACTTACCACTATTCACTCTGGGTATTCTCAAAGGGCATTATAATTGCCTTCATTCTGCTGAAGTACTCCCAGGACTCTTTCTTATAATCTAATGGCACCTCAATTACCTATATCAATTTCTGAAATTTCCTTAAAATCAGGATTGTCACTGCCTGACTTTCACCATAGGAATCTAGGGTAGCAGTTTACCATTGTTTAAAGTCAGACAAAACGTTATAAATCCTCAGGAAAAGTGCACTTCTTAGATGTCAGGATTCTAGAATGAACACTTGGTTTCTAGACTGTGTTCTACATCAGTGTGAATCACTTCTCTTAATTAGCTGTTTGAAACAAAAACAAACACTGTATAAGTTTTTATATGCATACAGAAAACACATACATAGGTACTTCAAAGAGTTCGTGGAAAATAGAATTAAAAGATAATATGAATCTTTCCATGAATTTTTGAAGACCCCTCATGTTTCTATTTAATTTGGGCCTCTTATTTGTCAGTGATATGAGGTTACTTTGTTCAGACCTTGCTAAAATGGGTTAATAATTTCACATTCTCATATGCTATAACTGTATTAAAATTTAGAGGACTACTATAAAGCCAGTAAAGTTTGCAAAAATGTGAAAACAAAAAGGGTTATTGGTGGTTTTAGTTCCAAAACATCTTATAAACACCTGTATTATTTATTTCTACCTTCATGAGGAAGAAACTGAATTGAGAAAATGTGTTTATTATACATTTAGTAAAGAGAAAAAAGTTGGAGCTCCTCAGATGAGAAAGGTAGGCTTTTTCCCTGCTGCAGAACTTCCCCAAAGTAAACTGAGTCCTGATGCCATCCATGGTTTTTCCCCTTGGAGAAATATTTCTCTTTCTACCGGGGAAGGAACCCACTGAAACTTCCTGTCCAGTTGGACTCCTTCCTGGGCTTGTGGGTAGCAGAGGTAATATCCTCTGCCAAGTAAAGCAGCAAAGTGCTCACTGAACTTCTTCACCTATTCAAGGGCTTTCCCAAAACTCTTTCACATTTTCAAGTGAGTCAGCAGATCCTAAACTCATTTTCCTCATTTATCCACTATAGAAATGCTGAAAGTAAAGTATCTACTTACTGAGATTGGAATGAGGAATAGAAAGCACTAACTTTTTTTTTTTTTTCCTTTTTATCTTTTTTACTGACCGGTAACAGGATCGCAACCCTCGGTGTTGCGCCTGCACCGCGCTCAACCAGTGAGCGGGAACCGGTCTCCACATGGGATCCGAACCCTCGGCGGGAGCGCCACCGCGCTCCCAGACGGCGCACTTTCCAGTGCGCCACCGAGCCGGCCCAGCACTAACTTCTTAGTTCAATACTTTTATGACTTGTCAGAAAATCAAACATGTTTTTAATAATTAATTATTTTGTGGCAGCTGCTACTAAAAAGTAATAAGAATACCCACTATGCTACTCAAATTCTATTTTTTTTTTTTTTATGCTAGAATCCAAGTAAACTTGGAAGTATTTCTTTAGGAGAAAATCTTGCAGTAAATGGTAGAAAGGGAGAAGAAAAAAATTTCCTATGTTTTCCTTAAGGGAAAATGTTTTATTTGTGGTAAACAAGGCAGTGATAAAAGATGACATTCTTATGCATGACAGTCTCAGGATTTTCACATATAAAATACCATTCTTTAAGTAGCTTATCAAAGGAATTTGTTGTATTGAAGCTAATATTGCGTTTAATTTTCTCAGAAAAAAATATCCAAATCACATCCATTTTGTTATAACTAGTGACTTACATTTTTAGTACAAATTCCGGGGCAATGTTTAAAAACCTGGGAAGATCAAATAACAATTGAGATTTAGCAAATGTTGAATTCTGAGCAATGTCCTTAGAGTGTACATTTTTCTTTTCTGCCCAACTCTTAGTTCTACTTGACCAGTTACAGGAACTACCACCCACTGAGAGATTTTTTTCACTCATTCAATAAATATTTATTAAGAACCCCCTATATACCAGGCACTGGGCCAGGCAGTGGGGATACAAACGAGAAAGACATGGTCCTTGCCCTCAAGGAGCTCACAGTCTAGCATATGAGGCAAATATCAAATACTCTTAAAAATGTCAAACTGTACCAGGAATCTTGGGAAATAAGTTAAGGCATTTAACAACCGCCTCCAGCTTTCCTAACCAAACTGAAGCTCAGGACAAACATTTAACTAAGAGACAACTAAACAAGACATAGTCCTATCTCTTTTTTTCTATTTGTGCTTTAGCTAAAATGCTTGATGATTAGTATAATAATCTATAACAGGATTGTTATTCTGGTTCTATCATTAGGTATGCAGAACTGGTGATATCGTTTTAAAATCAAAATCCTACATTTTGATGTTTGCAACCTGACCATTATTTACTTTTTGTCACATCTAAATGGGTTGTTCTATTGAATTAATCAGATATCCAAAACTGTTGCTTCACAATAGACATGGGTTATGTTGTTTCCCATTAACTTGAATTAATTTAATAAAGACTTGAAAAGTTGCAAAGATATCTTTTATTTTTATACATGTTTAAATTCAGTTTTACAAAATATAATGAAAGCTACCGAGCACTGAATACTTACTATTGAACTGAGTTGATTTCTTTTTTACATAATATCTTGTAACATCTCCTGCTCCCCAACCCCACAAGATACTATGGGTCCTATTTGACTGATGGGAAAATTGAGGTGTTGAGGAGAGTTTTCCTGTATCACACAACTAGTTAGTGTAAAGCAAGAAATGGAACCTCTAATTATCTGACTGGTTAAGTTATTCTCTCAAGAATCCTAAATTGAGCACAGAGTTTTCACCTTCCAGGTCTATGTGCAGTAGAATTACTCATTGCACAATGAGTAATTATAATATTATAATATTATATAATTTTATATTATAATATTATAATAACACAGTTAAAGCTTTTAGCAACCAGAATCTAAACATCTAGGATGCGATAAAATATCTGATTAAATAGTAAAATGAAATATGAAATAACTTCAGGTAAATGGCAAGTTAATGGAGAGTGTGTAACTATGAAGTAAACTGCATCATGCAGCAACCTCCCAGCCTGGCTGTGTGAAACTTTCCTGCACAGAGGGAAAATTATCTTACACTAAGTGAGTGTTGGCCTGGAAACTCCTAAAGGAATGCTGGGTCAGGGAGAGCTTGAGTTTTTTGTTTTGCTTGATCTTCAGTGGAGGTGGTCCTACAGCAGTCTCCCCTAATCACTGCGCCCAAGTCACCTGCTCTAGAGGGATGGTCCGCGTTTTGGGTGGCGTGTGCACAAACATTTAAGCACACACTACCATCATTACTTTGCAAAAATCATCAGACGTTCCCAATAAAACATGGAGAGCTTTATGAGAGAATAGAAATATAAACTTGAAAAATTTAAATGAAATACATACGTATCAAACTGCTCTGCACTAACCTCCTAAAATCTCTTCTGTGTTGTTTATCCAAGTGCACAACCACAGCCAACTGACAGCTCCCAGAAAAAGCTTCACCCTCAAACTACGGATTGTAAACTAAACTGACCCCCACCCCGTGGCTAAGCTTTCTAAGGTCCGCAGAGCTTTTAGGGGCTGCCTTTCCCCCTCTTGTACAGTGACTCACTACACAAGAAATTTGCTAAAACCGTTCGCTGGGCACTTCCACGGAATCGCTTAAAAATAAACATGTCACTTTCGGCTTGGGGCAGCATGCTCGTCATTTAATGTCTTACTCGTTTCTTAACACGTATATGATTAATATTGGGTACTCAGGAAAGAGAACTTCTTCTGACCTTGAGCGTGCGCGCTAAATAAATTACCTCAGAACGAAAGTGGTGAGATCTCATAACAGCATCTGGGGAGAAAAGAGAAAAACGAGACTTCATTTAACGCCTTGTTCTTCACCTGCCGAGGTACTGACGACTTACCTGGGAAACAAGGATAGGGAAGGCACATTCCTGACGCCTCGATTCGGTGGGAATATCCTGGGGAGGGGGGTACTGGGCGGTGGGTATCTAGGTGACTTCTCCGAGAGAAGTTTCCGGGAAAGTTCTGGGGGAGTTGGGGAGCCCCGAACTCTTCATGCCTCACTTTCTTACCCCTAAGCTCCAGCAAAGGATGGGTGAAGGCGAGGCTGCCGCAGCCCCGGACTCTGCTCGAGTTACCCTGAGAGCTTTAGCAGACGGACACCAAGAATCTGAGTTCGTTCCTCCGCTCCCTGACCTCTGCATGGCCGTGGTTATCCAAACCTCGGAGACTGGAGGTCGGGGGTGAGAGCAAAACGGGCCAGGGGCGTTTAATAAACAAGCGCACTCAGCTTGAGGAGTGGGCAATGGTGGAGGTAGGGGAGGCAGCGCAGAAGGCAGGGAGCCGCGCTTCACTCTCCAAATCGGCTTACACGTTCCTCCCAGCCGGAAGAAACCAGTCGCGACGTATCTTACCTCGGCTTCTAGAGCGACCCGAAAAGACCGATTTCATCGGATGCCTCCCTTTCTGGAGCTTGCGGTGCCAGCAGCAGAAGAAAACGATGGTGGCGATGGTGCCCAGCAGAAGCAACAAGAGGAAAAGGGCACATTGGATGCTATAGGGTCTCAGCAGAACGAGGAAAGCCGCGGCGATCATGGTGCGGACGAGGCGGGGGGCGACTCGGCGGCGGGGCTGGAGGGCGGCGGCACAGGCACCC